AGTTCCAATCTATAGGCAGATTGCTTGTCCCCTCTTCCTTCTGTGCAGATTTCTGCTCTTAACAGCTAAAAAAAATTACTGAAGCCTTTTGGTCAGTAGGTGTGTGTAGCCTGATTGCCACATGCAATGTGACGATAGTCATGTCCATGTTGTCGATGCTGCTGTGTAGGATTTAAAGTTACTCGCAAGAGCAGATACAGCAGTAGTGTCAAAATAGCGAGGACACCTTGGGAAACAATTAGGAGGAAGAATGGTTATGGAGAGGCTCTGTAGGACCAGAGGAAAGCAAAGTCCATCCTTCGTTCGCCATCTGATACTTCCAGCAGACCAGAGTGAGCGCTCTTGTTGGGCTGGTTCTGCCACACGTTTTGGGGGTTATTTTGGTTTTATTCCCCTCTGGCATCTAAGAAGAGATAAGAGACTAGCTTCTTATCTGAATGCATTTTTCTGTTTGTTTCTGTATATTAATTTTGGTGCCAGGTGCATTTAATGTGCCCTTATATACTACTTTGGTTTTACTAGTGGAACATTCAAGTAATCTGTGATTTTTTTTTTTTTTTTAATGGATGAGTAGTAGAAGTAGATCCGAAAACGGGGATTATTCCTGAAAGAACTTGGTATCTTAGGTGTTTCTGGCCCTTCAACACATTGTATTTTCATTAGGATCACAGCAAAAGAGGGGTGGCAGAGACAGTTTAGATAAATACAGTAGAGAGAAACTTGAGGTTATGACATTGTGATACACAACATGCAAGTGAAAAGAGAGGCTAGGAACTAAACTCTGTGTAATCAAGGAGGGATCTTGGTTTATACCGTCGTCTTTTCAGGGAGGTGAGAAAGAAGCCTGGGGCAGAACAGTTGGTCTTTCCTGTATCAGGTAGTTGTTATCACACACATTAGTTGTGGTATAGGCGATATCGGTACGTGCATTTTCCCCGCCCTGACTTGTATGTCTGGTGTTTGGGCTGGTGTCAGGAGAGTTTTTGAAACTGCATCAATAATACTGGTAGTATTGCAGTAGAGGTTAGAAGAGAACTGATTCTTTTTCATTAGCTTCTTGATTTGTTTGCTTTGTGTAATGAGCTTCAGTTTTGAAAAGTCACTTAGTTGCTGAAGTCCTACAAAAATGTATTGGAGGAGATTTTAGGAGCTTGAAGCTACTTTAACTTAAAAGATTAACTAGATTCTAAGCTGATAGTGTCCCTTTTGGTTATTGGGGTGCACATAATGGATCTAATTTAATTGATTTTAGGAACTGTGTCGCGTCTTAGTTGCATGTCTGTACCCTGAATGGTACTCATCTTAGGGAGAGCCATGCTTTGCCAGAAGACAAGTTGCAGAGGAAGTGTGGCAGAACAAATCTATCCTTGGTGTCCCTGTTCTTAAAATCCCAGCCACAGGAAGGCAAGTGTTTGCACGCATTTTCAAGGAAGGCTAAAAGTACAATAGAGGCAACTACAGACGAATGGGTCAGCGTGCACGCATTTTCAAGGAAGGCTAAAAGTACAGTAGAGGCAACTACAGACGAATGAGTCAGCCTCCCTTCCATCGCTGGTAAGATCATGGAGGAGCTGGAGTGAATTTAGTGAAGAGCTACCAAAGAGGTCTAGGGACTGGAGCGCTTGCCCTTTGAGAAGAGGCTGAGGGGCTGGGCTGCAGACCTCTTGATGTCCCTTCCAACCTGAGTGACTGTGAGTCTGTAAGCAAGAGAGCACTGTAATAAATACTCTCATGAATTTCCTGGAGACAAGTACCTAGAATGCCTGAAGGCGAGGCTCAATTTTGTGTATCAGTATATTTGAGTTTTGACCAGTCCACTGACTTAGGGATGAGCAAACCAGACACTATTTCTTTCTCATCCCTAATGCAAGTAGTTCAGAAGATCAGGCAGAAAGAAATTTAGTTAAATATCCATATCTGTTATGCAAGCCATAACTTGCTTGGACTCATTCAGATGCTGGCTATTGGAACTCTCATTTCCCCGTCACCTTCCTCCATACAGACTTTAGGGTCTCCTTGGTCCAGCCAGGTCCCTCATTGCTGTCTTTCTCAACCTGGTTGTTAAACATCATGTTCTGAAAAAGGCGTGCTCTTCTCCTGAAAGTCAAGGTCAGGTGCACACCAGTTTGCAGTCTTTCTGTGTCTCTCATTAGGTTAAGATGCTAATCTAAAGTTTCCTTGCTGGAAAATTTATTTTTTCTATGAATGCATTGTTTAATTGCTCTAAAACATTAAATGTGCTAATTGTCTTTTATGAAACAATAAATTATAGAATCCTCAAACCTCGAAAGGACGTTGGAATGGATCTGGTAATTGCTGACTGCACCAAACAGTATGGCTATTGAGTTGAGTTACCTGACATTGAATTTTAGGGAATGGCTAGAGCTCTGAACTGTTGAGGCTTTGTCTGCTGGGGTCTGGCATGATTGAAAGAAGCCTTACAAAACAAAATTGGGCTCACTGAAATGTAACAGCTATGTTGGCATGAAAGAAAGGCATGGTGAAAATACTGCTTGTGTACTGGCACTGCAGTGTGACTTCAGTGTCTGCTCTGTGGATGGGCAGTCAGAGTTTGGGACAGGAAAACTCCCAATCATGTTTCCAGTGGAGATTACGCTGTTAAAAAATGAAACTGAATTTCATAGTTCTTCACCTGCTTGCTGTGTGATATGTTTGAGATGATAAATTACATAAAGAAATATCTGAGAATGTTTGTCACTTCTCCAGGCTAAGCTAAAAGTGGAAAAAATGGTGACATTGAAACAAGTTAATTGATGGAATATGTATATTAGGAAAGAATCTGCTGATAACAGTTGCAAGTAGTCATACAGCTGAAGATGCTCTGCCTGAAAATGCAGCACGGGTTTGGGGTTTTTTTTATGTTCTTTTTTTCTGCTGGGAAGGCTTGGAAGGAAACAGAACTTATTTTTTTTTTTATTCTGGTTGCTGAAAGCATTGTCCAGGAAGGCAGAAAACTGTGACATTTAAGCTCATAAAACCGAAATTAGGAGAGAGTCTTTCTCAAGTGTGGTTATCTCCTATGTGTGAAAATAGCTGCTCAAAGAACGCGGAATTCTCAAATTGGAAAAGGAGCACTTTGGAAAGAGTCAGGGTGTTGTAGTTGCCTAGTGCTTCTCCAAACTTTCTGAAAGACATGTTATCTCTGGTTTTTGGTTCTCTTCTGTTAAGAGGCTGTTTGGCTTTATGTAACAGAGATAATGAAAGGCCTGAGGTTTAGGATCGGAAGTGCTGTGTAAGAAGTGAGACCCTGTGAGGTGGGTCTCCACAGCCTTAGTCAGCTCTACTGCTTCCTGAGTACTGAAATCAGACGTATGTGTTTTATTATTTAAGGGAATCTATCCTCTTTTGAAATAAAAACCCTTTTTCTGTTCTGTTGTGTGCTAGGTAAGAAGCAGGTTTGAGAGACAGAGCAGGTACAAAGCTCGGTAATTGGAGTGGGACTCCTCAGTGCAGGTATTTTTTGAGCATTGCTTCAGATGACTCTGTGTAAAGGCAGAGGCATCTCTCAATTTTTTTAGACTCTTGGTAGCTGCTGTTGACTTTGAGAAATAGTTGAAGCATTGAGAATTGTTCTTCTCAGGAGGATGAGGTGACTGAGATTACTTCTCATTTTGCTACCAGTAGAAATGGGCCACATTCTTATTATGGCAGATTTTTATATGTGTATACATGTATTTATTATTTTTATAACTGTCAAGACAATCTCTTATCTTTGCGGATTTGTTGCAGACATGCTTTAGTAGACTTTTGTTTTCTGTTGTATTTTATAACTGTTGTAAAATGTGTGCCGTGTGTTGATGTTTTTAACGTACATGACTGATTAAAATATAAAAGCAGGAAGATTAATCATTGCCTGAACATTTGAATACTCAGTGAATTTTTACAGGGCTGCTGTGCTAAGCTGTTTACCTGCTTTTTATTTTCCTGCTGGCAGAGCTGTAAACTTTCCATGCCCAACCTTAATGTAGAGCATTCTTACAGGAGCTTAAGAGTGGTAGATTATTTTAGGTTTTAAGAGGCAGTATTCCCAAACGCTTTCTTCACTCTTTTTGTAAACTGCAAAAACATTTCCAGTCCTTGGCTCTGGCAAGGCTGTTGAAGAGTCCAGCCAGCCAAACAAAAAAAAAGTGAGCACTCGTACTTCAACATCCTATTTTGAAATACAACTGGAAAAAACTACTCTTCTTCTTTTAGGCCACAGCAACATCTTCCCCCTCCACCTTTTGTCACTTCTCTGCTCCTGGCCACACACATACACATCTTTTCTTCATGAAATATTAACAATTTGAGTGCAGAAGCTTGGAAAAACACCGTTCCTGGGATTTACAAAAGTTGTCTGAACAAGCGCTGTAAACCTTGCATTTCCCAGCAAGCCGGGGTGACGAGAGCAGTTTAACAAAGGCGAAGCGTCAGCCATGGACCTTGTGTCACCACCCTTCGTGACGCGCAGGCAGATGGCTTTGGTCGTGCTCCAGGCTGCAGCCGCCGCTGCCGTCTCTGGCAGAGCCTGCCGGCGCGTGGGGAGAGAGGCTGGGCTGCCGGGACCCGGGCGCCGGCGACTCACTTCTGGCCAAACGGGGCTTGGCGCTGAATCAGGCGATGGGGTCTTCATCAGAGGGGGTTAGAGACGGATGGAAGGTTAAAAATATGACACCTTGGAAGAAGGAAAGTGGAATGAAAATAGATAGGAAGAGACACAAATTGCAGTGTAGTGAGTGTCAAGTGGTTGTGTGGGAAAGAGGAGGAGAGATGAAGTGATCGCTGAGAAGAATGTAGTCGACGGTACACCAGGAGTTTCTGCAAAAGGCAAGCTGAAAAGGTGAACTAAACAACCGAAGGGAAAGGCAGCAAGTAAGAGAGAAATTAAAAATACTTCAACGAATCTAGCTAATGAAAATGTTAGTTTGTTACTTCCCTGCTTGAAAGGCAATAGGAGGTCTGTTCCTGAGCTGTGGTGTTATTTTGTCACAGCCGACGTCATGCAAGCCTGGAAGGATTCTTCAGAGCTTATTGACTTCAGTAGGTAATGATGGCAGGATGTAGGTCCCTAAAGGACATGCTGCTGTGCGTGCCTCAAATCAGGCAGAATTTAACATTTTTGTGTGTGTCTACTGTGACTGCTTATGTAATTCACTGGTCATTGCAACACATCTGAAATTTTTTATTCATTTTTCTTCAGTTAGGTTGAATTGAAAATTCGAATGCTGATGACATGCATGGTATTTAAGTGTACTGCGATGTGCTGGCAATGCATGCTAGCTTTGTGATACAGGTTAGGTGGTATTTGGTTTTTGTTGTTTCTCTTCAATGCATTTAGTGTGGTCCAGGCTGTCACTTGCTGAATGATCTTAATGTTACTTTTGCAGCCTGTGTCTTGCACCTACTCTTTGTGGTTGAAGAGCAAATTAAACTTTTAAAACAATGAAGCTTTTGGGATGCCCTTCTTTAGAAAAGAACTTTTGTTTGCTCTAAGCTGGAAAAAATTTGGTTTGTCTGTTGCTCACTGTGAGGGACTAGGGTTTTTCAGGGCTGACTTGGGGGTTGAATTACGTGTTTCACACATTTCTGTTATGTTACAGTAAAAAGTGGTTGTTTTGGATCACATGCTTGGACTGGAAAACTTTTCTGACGTGCGCTGCATGTTTGAACAGCTACTCTGATGAATTGGGGCTAGTTTGCTTATGCCTTTATTACTACTGCTGTATGTACTTGTCCTTATGTCTTCAAATACATAACTTTTATTTTTACATGGAAGTACTTATATACAGTCAAGTAACTTTCTATTTTTAGTTACAAACCAAAATAACATTGTTGCACAGATGCTGCTTGTGATGTGCAATGAAATATTTTAGTGAACTTGAGTTGCTCCTTTTCAAAAAAAAAAAACAAAACCAAATCCAAACCCCAGCACCACCCCCAGTTTTTGTCAGTCTGGATGTTCTAGCCAGGCAGAGCAGTTCCTTCAAGTGGCTTAATGTAGATTTTATTTGATTTATTTTGCTCATCTGGAGAGTATGTGGATTACCTCTGTCAATATTGGGCATGATAAATGAGGGCTGGGCACTTAGAGAGAAATTTGAATTATTTGAGCCATTCAGGGATCGAGAAGTGACTTGATTCAGGAGGCATTGTGAGGAGAAAATGCTGAGTGCCTTTTGGGAACTTCTGAGGTAGTGGATCATGGTACAAATCAATGACAAGAAACTGATATTGAACGTGTTTATATGTGAGACTGGGATCGAACTACTGAAGAAGTAGTTGTCTTTTGATCAAGCCTAGCTGGAAGATGCTCTTTGGCCATGTGCAAACATAAATTACAAGGTTGAGGTAGAATTGCTGAGTGAAATGCAGTGGCTTGGGATTATATAGGAGGTCGGTGAAGGTGATGTAATCACCCTTTTGGGAGAGTAAATCAATAGGGAAAAAAAAAATCTCTTGGTATTTCTGCCATCTTCTTTTAGCCAAAACAAGAGAAATTTAGGAGTTAAGTTAGGACATTGTATTCGTGCCACCTTCAGTTTCTTAAGCTTGGTACAACGTTTTGTCAAAAGTCTTGCGAAAAAACTACTTATTGGCCAGTGCTCTACCCCGTATGGTTGTATGTGCACAGTATGTACCAACGACTGTGCTTTCTGAAAGGCTCTAGAGTTCATGTCACGGGGACCCTCGCTTGCTGGTGATACTGAGTCTTGGGTAAAGATACATGTCATTAAGACTAGCATAAAGTAGTGTAGATGAATATGTTAGTTACTTGTTTGTCATGTTTTTCTCACCTGTGTTTCTGTTTTAACTTGTAGATTTTGGATCTTTGTTTGACTTGGAAAATGATCTTCCTGATGAGCTGATCCCCAATGGCGAGTTGGGCCTTTTAAACAGCAGTGGGAACCTTGTTCCAGATGCAGCTTCCAAACACAAACAACTTTCCGAACTTCTAAGGGGAGGCAGCGGCTCTTCCTTAAACCCAGGAATTGGAAATGTGAACTCAAATAGCCCTGTCCAGCAGGGAGTTGGTAGTCAAGTTCAAGGGCAGCCGAACAGTGCTAATATCGGTAATCTGGGTGCTATGGGTAAGAGCCCTTTAAACCAGGGAGACTCTTCTGCTTCAGGCCTTGCAAAGCAAGCAGCCAGCACCTCTGGACCTACCACACCTGCATCACAAACTCTGAACTCTCAAGCACAAAAACAAGTGGGGATGGTGACGAGCAGCCCTGCAACATCACAGACTGGACCTGGGATATGTATGAATACTAATTTCAGTCAGACACACCAGAGCCTTCTCAACAGTAATTCTGGTCACAGTTTAATGAATCAGCCTCAACAAGGACAAGGGCAGGTAATGAATGGATCTCTTGTGGCAGCTGGAAGAGGAAGGGGAGCAGTAATGCAATATTCTGCCCCTGCCATGCAGGGAAATGCAGGCAGTGTGCTGGCAGAGACTTTAACCCAAGTATCTCCACAGATGGCTGGTCACACCGGACTGAACACAGCACAGACAGGAGCAATGACTAAAGTATGTACATATGATTTAATGTATTCTCTTCATTGCACTTGTTTTTTCTGCATACAGGTGTTTAGAAAATGTAGTAGATTCTTTTCTGGAACAGAACTAAGGAGTGCACTTTCTTGAGTCTGTATTTATCTGTTTCAGTCACCAGTGATATCATGAAAGCAGGATAATTGAAACAGTGTTTCTCATGTAATCAGAAATGAAAGAGCTTGTTGAAAAACACATCCTTGAAGTTAAAAGTCGGGTAGTATCTTAGCAGGGTGAATTAGAAAGGAGTAGCATAATCCTGTGAAAAGGAAGCAGATTATTACTTCTGTGCAGGATCTCAATTTAGCTGCCAGACAACATCATCTTCTAAAGCAGTGTGAAAACTGTTAGAGAAATATTTGTAGATTGAAGGGAGAGGTGTAGTAATTGGTCCTCTTGTCAAGGACCACTGTTAACAGCTGTGTGGTGAGTGTTTTTCAAATATGGAGGAACTGATCTGAAAACATCAAATTTCACTGCCAAGCTAATACAAACTCTGTGAAAGGGAAAGGGTTAGGGTTAGGCAAGTGACTAGGCAAGTTCAGTGGCCACTGCAGATCAGGGCAGGGAATATATACACCTGGAAGTATCTGCCTCTGTCTTGGGGCACTGCTGTGGTCCCTGGTTGATATAGTAATTGTTTTTCAGTTCTTCTCTAAGACCACAGCTGGAAAGTGAAGTGTTTTAATTGCTGCTCCTCCTGTCTTCCAGTTGGATAGCAGTGTGCTTTGTCTCTTGTCTGTGTGGCTTTGGTACAGATCCTTCCTGAAATTTTTGATGGCAAACCCATCATGTAGAAAATCTTTTTTTTTTAATCTCTGATATTTTATCTAGTCATACATCACTAGTCACTATTGTTGTAATTCATTAACACATAAATGTTAATTCATTGATGTGTTAGGAATTATGGGAAAAAATTGCATTTCCCGACATAAAAGTGTATGTCATGTTCTCTGAAGCAGTGCTGATGACATTGTGGATTACTGTGTAGTTAATTTTTTTTTTTTAAATAAAATGTTTAAAAACATAAAAAGCATTCTCTCTGCAGTGAAGGGGATCCCTTTGCTTAAGGAAGAGATGCTTGTGGTCTGAGTGAAGGTCATAGCATGTGAAAGTGGTATAGCTGCCTCCAGCCTCCAAATTGGCTGAATTGTTGTGTGGAGCAGAGAGCTCTGCACAGAAAGAATATCGGCTTATCTTTCATTTGTTTTTCTTTAAGGATTTGTGGGAAGAACGACAAATTCTAATTATCTGGCTTATTTGTATAAACTTATGGATATCTGTGTTCTTAGGAGTAGATTTTTCCTAGACACTACACAGTTATGTAGTGAAACTACTAATTTTCTATGTGAACTAAGTCAAGTAGAATTACCCCAAAGCAAAGGGACTTGCCTGAGGTCTTCATCTGATAGAGTATGTATGAACCTGCTGGGCGAGGTTCTGTGATGTCTTGCTTTATTTTAAACAAACCCACCCCTGGTAAGGAATAGGCCAGCACTCTCAAATTCCATTTTTCAAGGACTTCAGTTCTAGCCTGGTGCTAGCTGCAGGTGGGATTCACCAGCTTGGGGAGGCGACCTGGACTTTCTCAGTTAGCATATGTTCAAGAAGTAAAGTAAACGTTAATTTAAACAAGGAATATGTTGGATAAGGATAGTGCAAGTATCCCTATTACATACATCATTAGTTTGTCCTCATGCAGTGCTGTGTTCAGCACTGGTGATGCATTTCCAAAAGATTAGAGCAAAATGAGTGCTTTCAAGTCCTTACACACAAAGTTGTTTGGAGAAACTGAAAAAGTAGGACTGTTTCGTGACAGAGCGTAAGTGATAAAATGGTGCTTCTATGAAGGCACTAGCACTTAAGAGAACAGTTTTCAAAACTTGACCAACTTAAAAAAATCGGGCTCCATCTCTTGTTGAACAAGATGAAGCTTAAAAGCATTGTGTTGGGTTTTTTTTAAGTTTTGCTTTACTTAGATCGTAATTTTCTCTTCATAAGAGAGCAAGTGAGCTGAACGTTTTACACAAATATTTTGAGTTTTCATTTTGGAACAATTGCTCCCTGAATTTTCTTCTGACTAGTGGCAGCATTCTCTTTTTTTGCCATTTTCCTTAGTAGGCATTTGAGGACTGTCATCAACTTCCAGTCTCTTCCCGTCCCCCAGTTTATTGTCCTAATAGGGTTACCAGCTCTGATTGTGTGTTAACTTTTTCTCTTATTGATGGTCTGGTTGTGATGGCAACTTTTAAGAAAAGTAAAGAAACACTTCAGTGAGTTTGTTCTTCTGAAACTGAAATTCCTTCTGAAGGACTTTGTGGGTTAGTTGGGTTTTTTCACCTCCTGTTCCCTGATGACTACCACTTAACATATATGGCTTAAAAGATTTGAAGAGCAGCAACAGAAGTGGTGAGGCAACTGATCTACCTAATAGTGAATGTACCTAACTTGACTAAAGGGCTTAAAATGTAGCTGCCATTGTACCTGAAGAAGTGTGTCAAGGCTGGAAGCAAATTCTCTAGGTGGTGACTGTAGCAGTATATCCTAAGGGAAAGAAAGAGGTGTGAAATACAAATGCAGAAAAAAAAAAATCTAAAAGAACTTTTTAAACCAAGATTTTCTTATTCTGCTTAAAATAAGTGATGTGCATCACTGATTAATCTCATTCAAGTATGGCTCAGATGCCCATTTTTCTCAATTCAGTGTGTTCATATGCATTGTGTAGCAGTCATGACCCTTTATGGTTTGGGACCACTTTTGTTGGGCAAGACCTTGCTTCCTTGATGGTTTGTTCTAATCCTTTTTTAGTAAATGACTAATCAAGGAAAGTCCATTGCTTTTTTCTGTTTTTCTTTCTTGTGGTATGTTTTTATAAGCATTCTTTCTATTAAGAGGAAAAATAAGGGGGGGAAAAAAAAAAATCCAGAATCTGATCCCTTCATCTACTCTCAGAAATAACTGGGATTCATTTTGTCTGGAGCATCATAAGCCAATATTGTTAATTTTGAGCTGGACTTGCCATTTTAGGGCAGCTCTTGAAAGAACGAAAAGTACCCTGGAAATGAGCATGGTAGCTCAAGCTCATGATGTGTGTGCTTGCATAAGCCAAAGGTGGCAAGTAAATCTTATCCCTAACCGATTTAAAAGGGAATGAAAAATAACCGATTCTCAGTGTCAGAGGGCCATAAGCTGCTGACATCAAGACAAATTTTTTTTGCTTTGGTAGGGAGAGACTAAAGCAAAATACTTCCTCAATCTATAGAGACATGAGCAAAGGATTTCATAGATTTCATATGATCCTCTGGAAGAAGCACCCTGTCAGTACAAGTGAAACAATAGCTATTAAAGTCATAGTCATGTTTTCTTGGGAGTAAATAGCATGTTCTTGATAGTCTAGAATATTCTTGGAAATAGAGGGTAGAGTAGTCCCTGAGAAGATTTTGTGAATTAAAGATACACCAAATTACTATGGCAAGGATTTGAGTTCGTAGTTGCCCATGACTGTGCAGTTTTCATATTCAGAATGATTTAGAGCTCCTGCTTTGTGATTTTTGACTTCTCTGAGATCTCCTGGAAGCCTCTTCTATGCTACTGTATATATCCCTGCTCTGTTCACTGCTAGACTCCTTCCTGTAACAATTTTGTTTGTAACTGTGGCATTGTGGCCCTGTTTTCTTGAATGACGCTACAAGGATAGTTTTCATTTGAGTGGGTTGAAGTCCTTTAAGAAATCTGCTTAAAAGAGCAGAAGGATTCTTCTTTGAACAATTATCATTTGGTGGGGTAGAGGAGCAGATCATCTTGTCACAGTAATTTCTAGTAGTAGCAGAATTCTCCTGTTGTGTGGTGCCATATTTTTTTGTAGAGTCCAGAAAATGCATTCAAACAATCTAGAAAATCTTTTTAAATTAAAGTTGTTTTTTTAAGATTCTTGGTTGTCGAACACTTGAAGCAGTAGCAAAGCTAAGCAGATGGTCTGTTGCTTCCATAGAAATGAGCACTTCATTGCGAGCACGCTCTGTGCCTAATACTTTCCTGTTGCTGTGAGAGTTCATCTTTTTCAAATGAGGGAGATGAAGCCTTCATATAGTTTATTGTGGCTGGCAGCTAGATCTTGAAGTTGTGTTTCCGTAGATCAGATGTTATATAGTCTCTTGCTCAGATGCATTCCCCTTGTCCTAATACTGCTATCAAAACCTGTGGAAAATCAGAAGAAAATTTTGGGAAGTTCCCATTTCTTTTGTATGGTTATCAACCTTCCTTTTTGCACTCTATTCAGAGTTTTGGGTGGAGACTCACCTAGTTGGTACTTTTGCTCTTCCCCTTAAGTAGTAGTAAAGTCCCATCGAGATCAGTATGATTCTTGACTGTTTTCTTTTTCATGTGTTTCCAAGGTGCAGTGCCTCCTTACACAGTTCTGTAAAAGAAGTCGCCTTCAGTAACTTCAGAGCTGTATCACTCAAATAAGGATATGCTGGTACCCAGCAGCAGAAACATAGAAAAAAAATCCTGGAGCTGTGTGTGGCTGATGATTTGCAGAAGCCACTGCTTTTAAGCTGCAGTGAAACTGCAGCTTGCTGGGGGTTCCTTTCAAAGTGGTTTTATCTATAGAACTAGTAAACCTACCTCAAGCTTCGTTTTATTCCTGAGAAGAGCAATTTAATGAAACATGTTGTTGGGCTCTGTATGCCCCAGAAAAAGATGGAATTGTTTGGTCAGATCTTAGTCTGAATCTATGAAGGGATCAGGAGGAAATCGTTGTTTATTTTCATACCTAGTTATGAGGATTACAATATTATTGTTTTTTTGTAAAATGCCGTTTCAAGATTGTAGATTTTAAGTAACCTTGTTTTGAAAACTCTAAAGGAAAATATTTGTGTTGATGCAAGCTAGAACCTGCCTGGCAGGGAAAAACTGATAGACAAGCTGATCTGTCTTCCAGTGTAGTATTTCAGGAGATGATCTGGTAGCAATGA